GCTGTAATTAGTAAACCAGGGTTTTGTAACATTTTAATTAGCGTTTAGTTAGTAAACCTAGGGTTTTGTAACGGTTGTAATTAGTTAGTAAATCCGGATTTTATAACAGTTGTAATTAGTAAACCAGGGTTTTGTTCTGGTCAGTTATGGACGACGACCATTTCGGAGCACTGCCACTGAAAGTTACTAGAAGACAAGATTTGAGTTGTTATCGGCTTAACCTGAATTGTATGACTATTATACGGTTAAAATACAGTTATAATGATAAAAGCCATAAGGATGGCATCCTAAAATAGATAATATTGATATCTATTGATATTACGTAACATACATATGATTATCTACCGTCATTGATTTGCACCGATTAGGCAACGTTACTGTTAGTTTGTTTTAGTTTACCCCAACACTTGAACACTTGAACTAAATATGTATAATAATTAATCGAAGTAATAAGTTTCGTAACATTAAATTTTAAATGGTAAGTGTGTAATTTTAAGACTTTCCCCCAATTTTTTAAATTTTTTTTTTTTTCATCGATCGATCTATGGATTTTATCTGTATATTTAAGGTCAAAATATAAACTATTCTAACTAAAATTTTCGAGCTTTTTTTTTTTTCGCAATTTTGATCTTTTTTTTTTACGTTGTACCAGATCTTATAATTAATCCAATCAGACCTTTATTACAATTTTAAAGGTATCAAATTTTTTTTCAGCACCCAATTATTAAAATTTATCAAAGTACGTCCGAGAAATGAAAGTCAAACATAAGATTCAGAAGGCACACGAAGAAGGAAGGCCTTACTGGTCCTTCGAATATTTTCCTCCAAAGACTCAACAAGTATTTTCTCTTTTTGTTCTAAGTGCAAGGATAAATTTTATGAGAACGTCACAGTTTAGTATTTACAATCCAATATTTTGACTAATCTCGTTTAGGGTGTTCAAAACCTTTACGATCGTATGGAAAGAATGTATCGTTTAGGACCGGAATTTATTGACATTACTTGGAACGCTGGTGGAACTTCATCACAGTTAACAAGTGAAATCGTATCTACTGCTCAATCTGTATATGGTTTAGAAACTGTTATGCATCTCACGTGTACAAACATGCCCAAAGAAAAAATTGATAAAGCTCTCAAGGTACGTACATCCCTTAATCTGTGAAATTTGCCCATCATTTCCAACAGACAGAGATAAAACTGTTTAATATTGATAAAACTGTTTAATATTGTAGCAATATCGATCAATATATTCCAATCTTAATTTTTATTTGTTTAAAAAATGCAGGATGCTAAAGATTGCGGATGTCAGAATATTCTTGCTCTTCGTGGTGATCCTCCACGAGGTCAACTTAACTGGGAAGCTTGCGAAAAGGGTTTCTCCCATGCTATCGATCTTGTCCGTTATATTCGTGCGCAATATGGTGACTATTTTGGGATATGTGT